GGAAATGGCGAGAAGTGGACCCTTCCCAGCGCCTGTGTGCCTTTTTTGGCTTGGCCATGACCGTTTTTGGTCTTTGCCCTCTCTTCATCGCAAGCGCCATGGCAGTGGAAAGGGCCCTGGCTATCCAGGCCCCCCATTGGTACACCGGCCACATGAAGACCAGGTTGACCAGGACTGTTCTACTTTGTGTGTGGCTGACGAGCTTTGCCTTTGCTCTCTTGCCCATCATGGGCATTGGGAAGTATACGCTTCAGTGGCCGGGCACCTGGTGCTTCATCAGTATGAAGGAGCACGCAAATCCCTTGGTGGGCAATGCTGTTTTTGCTTCTACATTTGCTTTCTTGGGTCTCTTTTCCCTCGCTGTCACTGTGGCATGCAACATGGCGACCATAACTGCACTGGTGTGTCGCTGCTGGTCCAAGAGCTCAACATCCCGATCAAGGAAGCAGTGGGGCAGGATTACCATGGAAACTTTTATCCAGTTGCTGGGAATCATGTGCGTCCTCCTTGCTTGTTGGTCCCCACTTTTGGTAGGTTTTCTCTGTGTGTCCAGTTGCTACAGAGTGGCCTGTTGGCACAAAGCCAGGCTGTAAATTGTTGTAGTAAATCTAACTTGCAGGAAACATCCAGTTAGAGAAAAGTGGCAATAGTGTGTAACTTGTTATATATGTTCCAATTTTTTTTACAATGTTCTGATATAATCTGGACAGAGATTGGACAGTCATTTGTCTGAAATGGTATAGGGTTTCCTGCCTGAGCAGGGGGTTGGACTAGATGATCTCCAAGGTCCCTTCCAACATTATTATTATTATTATTATTATTATTATTATTATTATTATTATTATTATTATTATTATTATTTCTTTATGTTTAAACATGTGAGAGAAAAGAGATGACATCTTAACAAAAATTTAAGTTTCTTATTAATTAGTGTGCTATGCAACTTTAGTCAGTGTAATTTTTCTGTTTATATAACCCCTATCCCAGTGGTTCTCAACCTGTGGGTCAGGACCCCATTTGGGGTCGATCGACCATTTCACGGGGGTCGCCAAGCAAGGCTGTCCGCCATTTTTTTTGTCCGCCATTTTTTTTGTCCGCTATTTTTTTCCCCTTTTCCAGCGGGTGCCTTACCTCCCTTGGGCTGGGCCAGCTGGTGGTCGGCCTGCTCTGTCTCTGCCGCTTGCCAGCTACGCCTCGGCTGGTGCAGGGGATGGAACCACGCATGCGCATTGCTCCTGGGCAGGGAAAGTTCTCGACTTATGATCGGTTGGGTAGTCCTTGACTTACGACCGGTTTAGTCCTCGACTTACGACCGGTTTAGTCCTCGACTTACGACCGGTTTAGTCCTCGACTTACGATCGGTTGGGGTCGCGGCATTAAAAAGGTTGAGAAACACTGCCCTATCCTGTCTTTAACTTTATCAAAATTCTGTCCAAATATCTTTTGAAATGAACCATACACACATTTCTGATTGTCTTTAGCTAAAGATGGTTATAACTGAAAGTGGTTGTAGATATACTTAATTTCATTTTAACCATCATAACAGTCCCCATTTGTTGTTTTCTTCCTGGTCTTATTGAGATTTCTGCTTAGTATTGTAGATCTTTGGAAAAATATGAAATACTTTACCCAAGATGAAAATGAGGCAATTGTATATTCTATAACTTCAATGGCTTCTTTCAAAAGAAACACGGGAAAGTACTTGGAAACAGGTCAGATTATTAGTTCATCTCCTAACTGTGATGTTCCAGAGTCTCAGGGAAGACAGAGGGTATGGGATCATCATCTGCCTATCCCACCAGATTGGATAGGATAAGGCAATATTTAAGCGAAGGGACATGGAATGTGCTTATCCTATCCAATCTGGTGGGATGGGCAGATGATGATCCCACACCCTCTGTCACTGAAGTGGTTGATTTCATCCAGTGGGTGAGAAACCACATTGCAGAGGCCTAGGACCTGACCTCCACCTCACTAATACTGACTGGAACTGGGGGTCAAGGAGAAAAGTGGAGAACTACCCCAAACAGTGCCTCCCTCTTCCCACCCCAAAACAGTCTAAAAGGATATGGTGGCTGATAATATTGAAAGCCACTGAGATTTAGGAGACCCAGGATGATGGCAACTGTTCCAAGCCCTCCAAAGATCATTTACAAGCACAACCATGGCCATCTGAGTACCATTCCAACCTGAACCCAGATTGAAAAGGGTCCAAATAATCTACTTCATCCAGGGTGTCCTGAAGCTGAGGCCCAAGGCACCTTCTTCCCCAAATAGGGCCTGTCGGAGACTGGACAAGAGTTGTTAACAAGGTTGGGTCCAAGGATGGCCTTTCTAGAAGGTGGCATTTGCCACCACCTCCTTCAAGACGAGTGGTACCATCCTTTCCTTTCACACATTAACAACTGCTCAGCCTAAGCCACATGCTTTAATATATTTTAAGAGATTGTTATCTTAATCCAGAGATTCTGAAACTGGGTGAGGTCATAACTCCTAAAATGTTAAAGTAATTTATGTGACTCATTCAAATAAACTAATTATTTTATTGAAAGAATGTTTTGCAAGAAATAAATATACCACTTGCTTTTAATACAGGTAGTGCTCGACTTAACAACCATTCATTTAGTTACTGTTTGAAGTTACAATGGCACTGAAAAAAATGACTTACGACCACACTTACGATTATTACAGCATCCCCATGGTCCTGTGATCAAAATTTGGTTGCTTGGCAACTGGCTTATATTTATGACAGTTACACTGTCCCAGGATCATGTGATCACTATTTGTAACCTTTCCACAAGCAAAGTCAACAGGGGGAGCTGGATTCACTTAACAACCATGTAATTCACTTAACCAGTGATTTGCTTAGCAACTATGGGAAAAAAGTCATAAAATGGGGCAAAACTCACTTAAGTGCCTTACTTAGCAACAGAAATTTTGGCTTCGATTGCAATCGTACTTGCCAAGAGTCTTGGAATAGTAAGATCTATGCCAGGGGTAGGCAACCTTGGCTCTTTTATGACTCGTGGACTTCAACTCCCAGAATTCCTGAGCCAGCATGGCTGGTTCAGGAATTCTGAGAGTTGAAGTCCACGAGACAAAAGAGCCAAGGTTGCCTACCCCTGATCTATGCAATAAGAATAGAAATAATTTAGTCTACATGTCAAATCAATGATAAGTTTGCAACTTTTAAAATATTTTCATGATAAGTGTCATTTAAAACAGTATTTTTAATCAAAAGGGTTAAAATAATAAGGTTAAGAGCTGTGGTGGCGCAGTGGTTAGAATGCAGTATGGCAGGCTAACTCTGTCCACTGTCAGGAGTTCAATTCACCTCAAGGTTGACTCAACCTTCCATCCTTCCGAGGTTGGTAAAATGAGGAGTCAGATTGCTGGGGGGCAATATACTGACTGTGTAAACCACTTAGAGCAGCCTGTAAAACAATGTGAAGTGTTATATAAGTCTAAGTGCTATTGCTATAATAGATGAAATCTGAACAATAGGCAGAAATATTCAACTTGGTTTCCAAAAGTACTCCAAAGATTGCAGGTGTATGAAAGGCCACAGTAGAAGTATGTGACTGTCAAGCAACCTTCCCATATATTAGCATTGTACACTCATCAAAACTCATCACAAGCTTTGCTTTCTTTTTTGCTGAGACAAGCTGGACGTTGCTTCTCCAGGAACAGTAAAGGCAAGTTCTAACAGTGATTTTGCTCACAAGCCCCCACCCCAAATTTGTAACCCTTCTCCAATTTGATTTTGACCTCCTAAGGGTCACCAACTATGATCAAAGCAAAGAACCTTGTTCCATGCAATTTACAGTGATATTTCACCTGTTTTAGTTTTCTGCTGCTGATGAGAATTGTGCATTTTAATCTGCAGTTTTTTCTCTTAACTTCCGGGGAGCTATTTACAGGAACGTTTAATCATTTAATAAATAAATACATGAAACAGCTTATCTTCAACTGTTAATTTTCTAATGGGACTACTTTTGACCTTGAAGGGTCACCCACAAGTAGCAAAGAAAAGGTTTTTAATGAGGCACAGTGAGTGAGTTAGACTGCAATCTATTGTGGCACATTTTCATTTGTCCCCAATCCCATCTCTCTGTCATAGAAATCGGGATAATTTAATCATAGTGCTAGTTAGTTTGACTATACTTCAGTAATAGATTAGTTTGGACTAAAAATAAATGACTGTTTTTAAATCTGAATATCTCTCTGTTTATATTATTCAGCAAACATAATCTGTATTAAACTAAACATTTTGCCTTTTCTCCAAGCCTACTAGCACTTTCCAAAAGTGAATTTACACACATTACTCCAAAATAGTTTCTGCTACCAGTGACGGTAAAAAAAAATAATTGCTTGGGATATTTATACAAAGAAGTACAACAAAATGCCATCAGTGGCATTTTATTTCCATTTATGACTATTATAGTACCTTGTATTCATTGTGATATATGTATTAGCTTTCTAATCTTGACCAGTTTCCAAGTTGTTCAGGGAAGCAGCTGCTTTTTGCCCCCAGTACAATGATGGGAAAACAGATTTGACTGTAAACACATCTGCATAATCTAATGCAGATCACACAAATCACACCATAAGCTCCACCCCTTTCTATTTGTATGTGACATCATGGCACATATACAAAAGGGACAGATTTTGCACTATATCAACACAACACTGCCATCTTCATTTGACACACATGTACCTCTGCAGACACTGCAGATTGTGAAATAGCGATTTTCCAAGGCACTCTCACCTTTACAAATTAAAATGAATATGGGTTGTAGACTTAAGAGTAGACGGGCTATTTGAACTTGCTCCATCTAATTTTTTTCCTGAAGTGTGCCATTGAGATGCACACTTGGGCATAGAAAAAAGAAAATTGAACACCTAATTATTTGCTGGAGTATTCAGACACTAATGCCTATATAATCTTCTACATATATGACTGACACTCCCTCTTTAGTCTAAATACTTTAATGGTAGTTATAGGTCTGAGTTCTTGTGTAACAGTAGCACTAACAATAACAGTAATAATACTAAGTAATCAGCAGCAGTAGTGGTACTAATAATAGAATGTTCTTTTATTGGCCATGTGTGATTGGACACACAAGGAATTTGTGACTGGTACATAAGCTTTCAGCGTACATACAAAAAAACAAAATGATAATCATAATATACCAATAGGAGAAGATAATAGGAAAGATGAGAAGGATAATAGCAATACAGTCCTACTACATGGGTAAATTTATTCTTTGGCATAAAACAATGCTGTGGGAATTAGGTATTTAGCAGAGTAATGTCATGGAAGGAAAAAACTGTCTTTGTGTCTAGTTGTTGTGGCATGCAATGCCCTATAGCGGAGTCTTGAGGAGTTGAAACAGTTTATTTCTAAGATGTGAAGAGTCTATAGATATTTTCTCAGCTCTCTTTCTGGCTCGTAATATAGGTCCTCAGTGGAAGGCAGGCTGGTTGCAGTTGTTTTTTCTGCAGTCCTAACTATCCGTTGAAGCCTATA